TGAGTTGTCGAGTGGTTGCGTCAGTGTGGCCGAATGGGGGGCGCCGCGATCGGCGCCGTCTCTAAACGTGTGTCCTTATTACTGCCCCCGTAGGTGGCGGCAATGGGAGAGGTACGCCACGCGGCGCCAATGCATTCAATCAATCGCCAGCGACACCATTCGTACCAACACACTGACAAAAAAAAGGCTATTCCAGAGAAGAAAAACATTGACGAGCCCTTGGAGCAGTTAGTGTAAGCCTACCGTAAGAAGGAAAAAAGCCTGGACTTGTAATCCTGCTTTGTCCCTCCCCAAATCGCCCTCCCGCAAAAAAAAAAATCATACTGCTGAAGACTGGCTCTGAAAAAATTATTGGGACAAATTATTTTTTATTTTTATTTTTTTGGTTGCATAAACAAGGTCTCATTTTTCGGCGTGAGCGTAAAAGCGTGAAAAAAGCGGCAGATTAGCAGCACGACATCTCCAGCTTCATAATATCGCACTCTGCCACACACACACACACACACACACACACACACACACACACACACACACAAAAGTGCCGTCGCACCGTGATGACCCCCCACTGTTACGCTGTTCATCAGACGCCCGCTGTGTTAGTGCTAGGCGAGCCGTTTCCGAGTCTGTCTTTGTCCCTGGCCAGGCTCCGGTACAGAGCACACTCACACCTGCATTGACACACACACACACAGACACACACACGCACACACACACACAGACAGAGAGACACACACTCAGACACACACACAGACCGTGGACACAGACACGCACACGCAGCACTTTCCCCGGGGCACTCCTACTATCCACTCACACCGCTGCCGCCGCGCTACCGCCACTACACTGCGGCCTGGCTTCGCCTGGCTTATGGTACTCAGGTGCAATTCGCACCCACCGCCTCCAGGTCTGCATCAAGGTGTGGCGGCAGAAGTGACACGTCTATTAAAAGCGGCGCCTTTCTTTATGAAACAGTATAAACACACTAAATGTTACGTACAATTTTGTACGAGACATCACAGTTGTTTGTGCACACGAACCGAGACGAACTTTTCGCGTACAATTTTGTACGAAAAACTGCACAAATTTCTCCTTTTTGTGCAAACTTTCGTACAAATTTGTACGAAAAGTTCGTTTACACAAAAAAAACTGTGATGTCTCGTACAAAATTTGTTCAAAAACATTTAGTGTGAAGAAAACTTTTTAAAAGTTTTTTTTTTTTTGGTACTGAGGCATATTGGATGGTGGTCAGACTCAAACGGCGAGAGGCGCTAAGGGAAGAGCCGCCTTTGCATCGAGCAACAACAACAACACCGCGGGCGGGTAATAAAATGGTTAAAAAATAATCTTGGCGTTTTATCCATGTCCATTACTATTAACGATGATTGCAGCCGATACCGACGGGGACATTTCCATAGCGCACGCCGCGAACCTGTTTTGCCGCCGAGTGCCCCCTCCCCCCTCCTCTCCTCCAACTCCCTCGCCACTTATTCTCCCACATAAAAAGAGGGACGTCGCACCGCGACCTGAATGAGAGAGAGATAGAGAGAGAGAGAGAGAGAGAGAGAGAGAGAGAGAGAGAGAGAGAGAGAGAGAGAGCGAAAGTGATGAGGGTCCTTGTGTTTGCACCACCGAGACGTTCTTGGCCGGGTACTTTTGATTGGTGATCGAAATGGCCACTCATGAGAGTCTGGAGGTTAGCCCTGCAGGACTCACCCGACCGGGGGCGCTTCTGCAACGACTTCTCAAATCATTTGTCAAAGAATTTGTTATATTTGTCTGCCCAGGCTAAAAAAACCATGGTCGTCATGGTGAATTTCCATGGCCATAGGGCTGTTCCCCATGGTGGAAGTTGCCATCCCCATGGTTTAACCGGCTTCCCCATGGTGGAGGTCGGACCATGGGGAGAACCACCATGGTGCGGCGTTCTAGACCATGGTAAAGGTCTTCCCATGGTGCTGGCCACCATGGTGGCGCTCGCACCATGGGGAATGTCGCCCTCCTCGTGCGTTGAAGTCTCCAGAGTTTATTCAGAAATTATCCGTAACTTTTATATATTTCGAGATAGAGTGACGCCGACAGCACCATCGTGCGTAGCATCGAATTTTGATCGGTGACCGAGGTGCCTGATGCTCGCAAGTTATAAGCTAGACACGTCCTTCATTCCCCATGAGGCAGTGCACCATGGTGCAGCCGCCCCCATGGTGCACGCATCCCCATGGCTCGCATCCCCATGGCTGGCCTCCCCATGGCTGGCCTCCCCATGGTCCTGAACACCATGGGCATTTCTCCATGGGCAAAATCTTGTGACCATGGTGAATCACGGATCACCATGGTCAGCCATCCCCATGGCCCAGCTCATGGTTTTTTTAGCCTGGGTGCAAAATGATAATAATAATTTTTTTTGAGTAAACGAAAGAATCATCGAAAAAACATCGAATGGCCTAGCGATGGCCTCCGCGTGCACATACACCCTCGCCTGTCTGTCAGTCAGACTGTCTGTCGGCGGGACGCGCCCCCCATTGTGGCACGGGGCGTGGCGTGGCGTGGCGTGGCGGGCGGGGCGGGGCGGGGCGGGGCGGGGCGTGGCGTGGCGGGGCGGGGCGGGGCGTGGCGTGGCGGGGCGGGGCGTGGCGTGGCGTGGCGGGGCGGGGCGGGGCGGGCGTGGCGTGGCGTGGCGGGGCGGGGCGGGGCGTGGCGGGGCGGGGCGGGGCGTGGCGTGGCGGGGCGGGGCGTGGCGGGGCGGGGCGGGGCGGGGCGTGGCGTGGCGGGGCGGGGCGGGGCGCCCTCAGCCAATCCGCGGGCGCGCAGCCACGCCCGGGGAAGGCGCGGCGAGGTGCGGCGCATGGCATGCGTTGACGCGCCGCCACCGCTAGCCGTGTATTCTATATGCAGGAGACTTGAATGCAAGGACGCCACCAAAGAGCCCAGCCCAGCCGGCCGGCCGGCACGCTCTGTCTCCGTCGCACACCGTAGGGACGGCCCGCGAGTGCGAGCGAGACGGAGCGACGCGCCGTGTCCTGACGGGCCCGCCTGACCGAGCCTGTCGAACACGCCACGCTGCGCCGCCTCGCTCCATTGCCCGCTAATACACGCATGCACACGCAAACACACACACACACACACACACAAACACACAAACACACACACACACACACACACACACACACACACACAAACATACCCACAGACACTCACACACACACACACACAAACACACACACACAGAGTGACTAATGCACTGTCCTCGAGGGGATGGCGACTTTGCACAACGAGAGCGCAATATTATTACAGTGGCGCATCGGCGCGGCTCGAAGAAAGTGTCTCAGAGACGCGGGCGGACGCCGCCGCGCCGCTCGCTTTTCGAAGACCGGAGCACAGTGGGCCAGAAGACCGGCGCAAGCGTTCAAAACTCGAGACGCGTTTTGAGCTCCAGAGTCGCTGAATGGGACTCGAACTGATCGTGTGACCCCACCAATGGATTGCTCTCCGAACGAGGAATCCACCTGCTCGGTTCGAGTCCCACTTTGGCGACTTCGGAGCTCAAAACGCGTCTAGAATTTTGACCGCCTCCACCGGTCTTCTGGCCCACTGTGCGCCGCCGGTCGCTTTTCGAAGGCCGGAGGACCTTGGTGCGAATCGACAATGCAAATGCGTCGGTGACTTCAATGGGACCGGCGGCTGTGAGAGTGTGTCAGCTCGGCGCGGGATTCCGACCACCACCACGGACTCGACCGCGGAGGCGGGGAGGCGGTCTCAATTTTCCCATCGCGTAAATCGCCGATAATTTATGCCAATTTATGCCCTTTGGCGAATTAATGCGGAGCCGCGCGCCTCCGCCGCAGCGGACTGGGAGTCGTTTTCGTCGCTCTGTCTCTCTCGCACTCACGGGGCATCCCGTACAGGTGCGGGAGAGACAGAGCGACGAAAACGACTCTCAGTGTGCAAGCCTCCGCCCCGCCTGGCTTTGGAGCGTTGTCTGTAGTCGGTGCGCTTTAATCTGTGTCATAACACGGCTCGGGTTCCATTAGCTACCGGTAATTTATCACCAGCGGATCGAAAACTAGCGTCCGATACGTCGGATCGGGTCTCGCGCCGAGGCGGCCGCGGCCCGAGGTCTCGCGTCTTGTCGACTCGCGTCTCGCGGGCAGCGGAGCGCGGGGCGGGCGGAGCGAGGACGGTCCTGGTTCCCGTCAAGGCACACTGTAGGGCACTGCCAAGGCTGTCGAGAGGACGAAACGGAATTTAGTTGTGGCTTAGGCGCCACACCGTGCTGCACCCAAAAAAATTACTTCTTAGATCAAAAAAATTTAACTTTTCTTGTTTTTTTGCAAAAAAAATTCTTGAAAGAAGAAATTTTTTCTTGTGTCAAGATTATTTTTCTTGCAAAAACCAAGAAAATCAAAAATCAAGAAACCGTTTTTCGGGGTGTGAGCACGCGCCGGCGTACTTTAGATATCCCACAGGGTATTATTAATGTCCTACGGACTGTTTCTGATGTCCCACAGATTATTTTTGATGTCAGACTATTCACCACGGGCCCCGGATTATTTTTGATACCCCACTGACGATTTCTAATGTCCCCCCGCTCACTGTCTCACAGAGTATTTACCATGTGCCGCAGACTATTTTTGATATCCCACTATATCTGTCCCCCTGCTCACTGTCCCACAGACTTTCTACAATGTCTGACAGATTATTTTTTTTATTTTTAAGTTTTGTTTGTGTAGTGTTTTTAAGAATGTAAAACCCTCATTTTCACACACTTAATGGCATGTACAGTTTTGTACGAGACGTCACAGTTTTTTGTGCACACGGACTTTTCGTACAATTTTTGTACGAAAAACTGCACATTTTTCGCCATTTTGTGCAAAGTTTCGCACAAATTTGTACGAAAAGTTCGTGTGCACAAAACACTGTGATGTCTCGTCCAAAATTGGTACAAAAACATTTAGTGTGCAGTGTGTCGCGTGTAGTTTTGCTAAGAACTGTCTCCGTTGTTGCAGGCCCATGACCTAGTGCCGGCGCCATGATCCCCCGCGAGGGGCCCCGGGGCCGGGCCGGGCCCCAGAGAGGGCCCCAGAGAGGGCCCCGGGGTGTGGCGCTGCCCCTGACGGCGGCCCTGTGCGCCGCGCTGCTCGGCCTCGCCGCCGCCAACCCGCTCGGCATCAGCCACTGGGACCTCGAGGGAGCCAACGAGTGAGTGTCTGCTTTGCTTCTGCAACGAGAAAGAGGAAACAGGAGGTTTTGAGGCGGTCGGATATCAAAACACTGATGGCCGATGCATGCAACTCCGTATTCGCCTAAAAAAGTCGCATTTCTTGAACCTAGAAAATTGGCTTTGCACCCAGTGAATTTACTTGAACGTTTCAAGTGAAGTTTCCAGTTAATTTTCTTGAATGTTTAAAGTGAACTTTCAAGTGAATTGACTTGAATGTTTCGTGAATTGACTTGAATGTTTCATGTGAATTGACTTGAATTGACTTGAATGTTTCAAGTAAATTGACTTGAATTGACTTGAATGTTTCAAGTGAAGTTGCAAGTGAATTGACTTGAATGTTTCAAGTGAACTTGCTAGCGAATTGACTTGAATGTTTCAAGTGAAGTTGCAAGTGAATTTACTTGAATGTTTCATGTGACACTGCAAGTGAATTCACTTGAATATATCAAGTAAATGCAACTGTTGTAAGCAGTCAATTTTCTTGGTTCAAGAAACGGCTTTTTTTCGAGTTATTCACAGCTTGGGCTCCCCTGGGCAGAGCTCCCCCACGTTACAAATTTCGAGGAGTGTCCCTCCTGGCTGGCTAACTGCTGCTTGGCTCGCGTGAGTTGTATCCCCTTCATTAATTTATCGACAGCGTCGGGAAAGCTGGCTTGAGCAGCAGTAACAGCAGTAGCAGATGATCCATAACTCTCTGCGCAAAGTCGCGCCTAGCCGGCAAAAAAAGGCGCTCGTATTTCACGCGTCGGATCACCTGCAGTTTCGGAAGCTGTCGGCAGCTCCCAGGGCGTGTGTGAGAGTGAGAGAGAGGGAGATAGACTGCCCGCCGTGAACACAGTCAGGGGCCCACCAATAAATAAACAATAAAAAAAACTGAGGCAGACGAAATCGGACCGGCTCACTGCCCACGCCACAGTGCCGGCCGATTTCTATCGGCAGTCGTCCGCCTGTCCGCGAGCTCCACTCATCCATCCAATAAACATTTCAATTACCCGGGCCAAAAGCCACTGCCCTGCCCAAGCCGCCCAGCTGACTGGGCTGCGAGCTCTGACTGGGCTGCGAGCTCTGACTGGGCTGCCAGCTCTGACTGGACTGCCGGCTCTGACTGGGCTGCCAGCTCCGACTGGGCTGCCAGCTCTGACTGGGCTGCCAGCTGTGACAGGGCTACCAGCCTGCCAGCTGTGACTGGGGCTGCCAGCTCTGCCTGGGCTGCCAGCTCTGACTGGGCCGCCAGCTCTGACTGGGCTGCCAGCTGTGACTGGGGCTGCCAGCTCGCTGCCTGGGCTGCCAGCTGTGACTGGAGCTGCCAGCTCCGACTGGCCGCCAAAGAGACTTGTCACTGACAAAGGGCCCTCCACCGCTGATTGCCAGCGCTGTCATAACGCACGCGGCTGAATTGATGTTTAAACGCACCGCCTTCCACGCGCACGCGGCGCGCAAACGAACCGCCGCCTTGCTGCCTGCGCGGTTTGCGCAGCTTGCACTTGTACGTCTCGGTGAACGTCTCTCAGCAGACTGATTCGGAGAGTCGTTTTCGTCGCTCTGTCTCACTCGCACTCATGGAACGTCCCATATAGGTGCGAGAGAGACAGAGCGACGTAAACGACTCTCGGAATCAGTCTGCTGAGCGGGACCGCCGGGCCGCCACCGCGTAATAAGGGCTGCCTTCGAGAGCGCTGCGCCTCGCACGCCACGCCCTGCCTCTCTCGCACGAGGGAGAGAGAGAGAGAGAGAGAGAGAGAGAGAGAGAGAGAGAGAGAGAGGCCCGCAGAGGGGGCGGTTAGAGCCAGGGCCGGGCTGGCCGGCGGGGCCGAGAGGCTCGCTCTTCGGAACAAGTTCACTTTTCACTTTTCAAAGCGGCCGACCGACACCTCGCTGGGAAAGGACATGGTCACGGGCCGAGCGGAGCGCAGCGCGGCGCCCTCGCCGGGTCTTCGTGTTAACACGTGCAGAGTAGGCAATTAACAGCCGAGCCGAGTCGAGGACCGCCCCGCCAAACACACGTGCACCCGTGCGGCCTACCTCCAAGGCGCTCGGGACGGTCTTCCCTTCTTCGTCTGTCGGTCTGTCTGTCTGTCTGTCTGTCTGCCTGTCTGTCCGTTCGTCTGTCTCTCCATCTGTCCATTGGACGCTGCGCGTGTGGTGCAACGTGGACACCAACGCGCCGGGCCTAAATCATGATTTGGAATGCCTAATCGAAAATCTCCTTCATCCGCCGCGCGTCCGCCGCTCGGCCGCGGGCAAGGCGGGCATCGGACCTTGCACAACGCGGGGATGGGTGCGATACATTTGGAAGTCGGCTCAGGAGTGGGAAGCCACAGATGGGCCAACGGACAGGCTCCCGGACAGACAGACAGACAGGCAGACAGACAGACAGACAGACAGACAGACAGAAGGACAGACAGACAGACAGACAAAAGGACAGACAGACAGACGGACAGACAGAAGGACAGACAGACGGACGGACAGACAGACAGATGGACAGACAGAAGGACAGACAGACAGACAGACAGACAGACAGACAGACAGAACGACAGACAGACAGACAGACAGACAGACAGAAAGACTGACAATTCAATTCAATTCAATTCAATTCAATTCGTATTTATTGAGAAAAACTTAAACAAGACACTTACAGATAGAAACATTAACATAGTAATCATAAACTGCCTAAAAATAGAAAAAGACAACCCCTAAGCACGACTGCTTGTCAGGGGTGGACAGGAAGACAGACGGACAGACAGACAGACAGACCGAAGGACAGGCAGACAGATAGACAGACAGACAGACAGACAGACAGATTTGTGTACAGCGAGACAGGCTAGACAGAGTGAACAGAGACGAGAAGACAGATGGACTGAGTCGAGGATGAAGACCCGGGGCTTATCGAACGAGGCCAAGGCGCGGGGACGGCGTCGACCGCGAGGACGACGTCGAGGCCCTCCTGCTGGTGGCGTGGCCCCGCGTGGCGGCCATCCCCGAGCGAAGCGCGCGCAATTTGAACGGTGACAGCAAAAAAAAGTGCACTCCTTGGTGACGTCAGCCGCGACCAGTCACGACGAGACGGGACGCCCCGCGACGCACACAATGCATAAATTGCACGCTCGGGGTCGCGACGTGGGGCAATCCATTTCGGAGTGAGTTTGACTGTGCTCCGCTTTTGCTGCCTGATGCCGTGGCAGCGCGAGCGACCGCAGCGGCCTCAAAAATCACCTGTTCGGTTCTTTCCCCGACGCACCACGCTGCACAGTGGGTCAGAAGACCGGCGCAGGCGGCGAAAACTCTAGACGCGTTTTGAGCTCCAGAGTCGCTAAGCAGGGCTCGAACCGAGCGTGTGACCCCACCAATGGATTCCTCAATCGGAGAGCAATCTATTGGTGGGGTCACACGTTCGGTTCCAGTCTCATTTAGCGACTCTGGAGCTCAAAACGGGGCTAGAACTTTGTCCGCACTCAGCGGTCTTCTAGCCCACTGTGCGCTTGGCACTGTGACGGACTGCCGGTGAACTACAGGCCGGCCGCGCCGCCGCCGTCAAGCTCTGAAGGAAAGTGCTGTAAATTTGTTTTCCGGACAGTATTTCTCCCAGTGCCTCGTCGTTCGTCGCGGTGGCTGCGTCTCTCTCGCACCCCTACGGGGCGCGCCGTGAGTGCGGGAGAGACAGAGCGACACGGTCGCTCCAATCCGGCCCGTATGTTATTCATTAAACGGCCCGCGCTATGCGCCGCGGCGACCGGAACGGGCCGACGGGACCGGACGAGCAAGGTGCAGCCGAGGTGCAGCAGGACTTGGATTTGGACTTGGACGTCCCGTCCGCTACCGCCGAGAGCCAACGAGAACCCAGATAGGACGCCGGCTTGGCAGCAGACTGATTCCGAGAGTCGTTTTCGTCGCTCTCTCTCTCTCTCTCTTCTCTCTCTCTCTCTCTCTCTCTCTCTCTCTCTCTCTCTCTCTCTCTCTCTCGCTCTCTCGCACTCATGGGACGTCCCGCATAGGTGCGAGAGAGACAGAAGGACAAACGACTCTCGGAATCAGTCTGCTGCCAGGCTGGCTTATAGAAGGTACAAGTCGACGGCCCGCTCTGCACCGCAGCCGCCACCGTCACGGCGTCTCGGCCCCCTGCAGAGCCGCACAGTGGGCCAGAAGACCGGTGGATCCGGTCAAAACTCCAGACGCGTTTTGAGCTCCTGAGTCGCTAAACTGGACTCGAACCGAGCGCATGACTCCACCAATGGAGTCCGCTTTCGGGGAGCAATCCATTGGTGGGGTCGCACACGTTCGGTTCGATCGATTCCGATATAGTGACTCTGGAGCTCAAAACGCGTCTAGAGTTTTGGCCGCCTCCACCGGTCTTCTGGCCCACTGCAGAGCCGTGCCGCCGGCGAGGCGGTTCGTCGCTCTCTCTCTCTCTCTCTCTCTCTCTCTCTCCCTCTCTCTCTCTCTCTCTCTCTCTCTCGCTCCCCCACGGAGCACGGAGCGCCCGCGAGAGCGAGAGAGACAGAGCGGCGACGACGCTGTTTCGGCACTGCAAGGCTCGATGTGACAGCGCCGGCCAGGACTGTGCGCGGATTGAAAAGGCATTCGGATTGCGGCGAGAGACGCACTGGCCGCTATCGGCGGTTCGATCTCCGATCTTCGATCCGGGCGTCTCGCTAACAGCCCTCCAGTCCGGGCGAGGCGCGCTGCGACGGCGCGTTCAAGGGCGGCGGTGCCCGGCCGCGGCGGCCCGCGCAAGGTGCCCGCGCACAGTGTGCCAGAAGACCGGCGCAGGCGGCCAAGACACTACACTGAGAAAACAATCGCGGCCAATTCCGCACGTGTGGTGCGGACTGGGACTTTGACCACGTTTGGTGACGCGGCCGAGGTCAGTCTCGTCGCCGCATCACCAAACGCGGAATCCGCCACGTTTGCGCCATGTTAAAGGATAGGGCCTCGATAAGCTTGACCACGTTTGCGCTCCGAATTGCGATGACCGCATCAC